TGGGCATAAAGATTGAGAGCTGTTAGCTAACCTTGCGCACGTGGGTTTCCTCTTTGTCTTACCACACACACGTGCTGAAATGTGGAAATGCAAGTTGTGCTGTTTTTCAACCCTTATAAAATTACAATGAATGCGGCATTATAGATTGCAGCATGGCCAGTTTTCGTCTCTCTCCACTACCATGCTTGCATGAAAATTGTGTTTGCACGTTTAAAAACGTTTAATTCATTGAAAGTGCACAAGTCATTATTGCACAATGCAGCTAAAGGAAATGGCAAACGTACTAAATATTTCCTATCCACCTGAATAAGGAAATCCAACCACTTAACATGTGAATTATATGCACGTCATGTTGTGACTAGGGATGTAAATCAGCGACCGTTTAACCGGTGGTTGACCGTCAGAGCGTCAAAGCTGTCGGTTAAAAAAGAGAAAAAGGGGAGAGGGGAGGTCTCTTAATAACGCTATTTTAAGCCCTATTTGCACGATGAGACAAGCGGGTCCGTATCTAGCTGTGTGCGCCCATGTATTATAAACTCCGGGAAAACTCTCACGCCGCACGAGCCACATATGCACACACGCATGCGCGCACACAAACACACACACACACACACACACACACACACACACACTTTCCCCCTCTCCATACGTAACATCCACACGCATCATCTCTCCCCTCTGTTACCGTCAAAGTTGCACACTGGCGCGGGTCAGAACTACATTGGAGCTTACATTTACACACACACACATATATACATACACACATACCGGACTGTCGCGCTCCTCTGTGTCACGGAGCCCAAAGGATTCGCACAAATACGCGGCTCCAGTCAAACCACATGGAACATGTTTGTGTTTATGGTCCTCGGTAGGGCTGGGCGATTAATCAATTTGAATCATTAATTCGAGTTTTACGTTTAGGGCGATTTCTTTTTTTTTAAATTCAATTTTTATTTTCTCCAGCGCAGAACTACAGCGCTAACGCGCTAACCGCGGGTCTATGGTGTTGAGCAGTCATTTTGAAGCTAACCTAATGCTAACAGTCTCCCTCTGGCCTGATGCTCGCTCTCACAGTTGGTGCTGTTGCAATAACACTTCAAACGTTCAAGAATCAGACTTTATTTAATCGCCAAAACACACACACACACGCACGCAGGCTCCGGTCGCTATGTTCGTACGCCACATCTTTCACACTCTCTCACGCTCGTTATTCCAAAGCGCACTCCCGTGTCCGTGGCGCGCACACACTCGTGTCCCACTGAGCCGCTGCACTTTGGGGAAAGACACGTCTCACACATTGCTCTCATTGCTCTGATACAAACAACGTGTTCCCCGCTGTCTGTTAGCTACAGTAGCTGCTACAGTAGCTGTTAGCTACAGTAGCTGCTACGGTAGCTTTTAGCTACAGTAGCTGCTACGGTAGCTGTTAGCTACAGTAGCTGCTACGGTAGCTGTTAGCTACAGTAGCTGTTAGCTACAGTAGCTGCTACGGTAGCTGTTAGCTACAGTAGCTGTTAGCTACAGTAGCTGCTACGGTAGCTGTTAGCTACAGTAGCTGCTACGGTAGCTGTTAGCTACAGTAGCTGCTACGGTAGCTGCTACAGTAGCTGCTACGGTAGCTGCTACAGTAGCTGTTAGCTACAGTAGCTGTTAGCTACAGTAGCTGCTACGGTAGCTGTTAGCTACAGTAGCTGTTAGCTACAGTAGCTGCTACGGTAGCTGTTAGCTACAGTAGCTGTTAGCTACAGTAGCTGCTACGGTAGCTGTTAGCTACAGTAGCTGCTACGGTAGCTGTTAGCTACAGTAGCTGCTACGGTAGCTGCTACAGTAGCTGCTACAGTAGCTGTTAGCTACAGTAGCTGTTAGCTACAGTAGCTGCTACGGTAGCTGTTAGCTACAGTAGCTGTTAGCTACAGTAGCTGCTACGGTAGCTGTTAGCTACAGTAGCTGCTACGGTAGCTGTTAGCTACAGTAGCTGCTACGGTAGCTGTTAGCTACAGTAGCTGCTACGGTAGCTGCTACAGTAGCTGCTACGGTAGCTGCTACAGTAGCTGCTACAGTAGCTGTTAGCTACAGTAGCTGCTACGGTAGCTGTTAGCTACAGTAGCTGCTACGGTAGCTGTTAGCTACAGTAGCTGCTACGGTAGCTGTTAGCTACAGTAGCTGCTACGGTAGCTGTTAGCTACAGTAGCTGCTACGGTAGCTTTTAGCTACAGTAGCTGCTACGGTAGCTGTTAGCTACAGTAGCTGCTACGGTAGCTGTTAGCTACAGTAGCTGTTAGCTACAGTAGCTGCTACGGTAGCTGTTAGCTACAGTAGCTGTTAGCTACAGTAGCTGCTACGGTAGCTGTTAGCTACAGTAGCTGCTACGGTAGCTGTTAGCTACAGTAGCTGCTACGGTAGCTGCTACAGTAGCTGCTACGGTAGCTGCTACAGTAGCTGTTAGCTACAGTAGCTGTTAGCTACAGTAGCTGCTACGGTAGCTGTTAGCTACAGTAGCTGTTAGCTACAGTAGCTGTTAGCTACAGTAGCTGCTACGGTAGCTGTTAGCTACAGTAGCTGCTACGGTAGCTGTTAGCTACAGTAGCTGCTACGGTAGCTGCTACAGTAGCTGCTACGGTAGCTGCTACAGTAGCTGTTAGCTACAGTAGCTGCTATGGTAGCTGTTAGCTACAGTAGCTGCTACGGTAGCTGTTAGCTACAGTAGCTGCTACGGTAGCTGTTAGCTACCGTAGCTGCTACGGTAGCTGTTAGCTACAGTAGCTGCTACGGTAGCTGCTACAGTAGCTGTTAGCTACAGTAGCTGCTACAGTAGCTGTTAGCTACAGCATCAGAATGTAAACAGGAAGCTCGCACAATGCGGGAGTCACTGAAGTTAGTATTAGCACCACCAGCTGGACCGAGCGTTGTACTACAGCACAGTTACTCAGGCACAGTTGAAAGAACAAGCATGAAAACCCGAGGAGGCTTTTGGAAAAGACTGTCTGTTACAACATTTCTATTTTGAGTAATCAGTTTTAAAAATGTGATATTTCATGTAAATAATGCATGTGTTTAATAGGATTGATATATTTGCGATGGGCCTTGTTTGTGTGATTTAATTTATTTTGAAGGTGCATAGTGTCATTGTAAGTGAAGTTATTATAAAACTGTTAAGCTACATTTTCACTGTTTACAATGGCAGAGCCATCTCGTTTACAAGCATGTTTTAAGGCTTAATTCTTGTTACACTTATGCTCCATGGGGATTTAGATTAAACTGCATAAAGGAAAATCTATTTCTTTGTCAGTTGTAGTTTGTTTTTAAATAGAAAAAAATAAATCGATTAAAATCGAGAATCGGATTTGGTGTGAAAAAATCGGAGATTTTTTTTTTTTTGCCATATCGCCCAGCCCTAGTCCTCGGGATCAGCTCCACACACATCACTTGTATTTAAACTTTTGTGAAGACCTGTGAGACGCGGCTCGTCACTCGCTGCTCTGACCATGTGAACGAGCCGTCGTTTGCTGCTAGAAAGTTTTGGTATTAACCCGCAGCACAGCAGAATGGGAAGATTAAAAAAGCAGTTCTCTGTGCGCAAACTGGTGCCGGAGCTGTTGCGGGTTTGGGCGCCGCTGTCTCAACTCTGATCCAGTAGAACGCAGAGCTGCACTTATGAAAAGTACGCGGCTCGAAATGGCTGTTATTTCAAAGAACGTGGACTATTTTAAACTACGCGGTTAACCGGTTTCAACCGGTTAATGAGGCTCGGTGGTCGGTCATGAAAATTCATAGCTTTTTACATCCCTAGTTGTGACATGAATATTTGTTTCATTTCAGCTTGGAAACATGGGCTACAAGATGGGAAACTATCGCACCAAGTTAAATCGAGCAGGAATAAAAGACATCTCGATTAATGCAGGAAAGCGGAGCCGTCGTCTGCCATAAGCCGAACCATCAAGAGCAAACATTAAAAGGCCAAGACGAGGTGAAATAAACCATCTAACACGCTTATTACACACACCCTCGTTACACTCTTACTCCCCCATTACACTCTTGCTCCCTCATTTTACTCTTAATCCCTCATTACACTCTTACTCCCCTATTACTCTTACTCCCTCATTACTCTTACTCCCTCATTTTACTCTTACTCCCTCATTACACTCTTACTCCCTCATTACACTCTTACTCCCTCATTACACTCTTACTCCCTCATTACACCTACTCCCTCATTACACCTATTCCCTCATTACACCTACTCCCTCATTACACTCTTACTCCCCCATTACACTTACTCCCTCATTTTACTCTTACTCCCTCATTACACTCTTATTCCCCATTACTCTTACTCCCTCATTACTCCCCCCATTACACCCTCACTACACCTGCACACACCCATTGAAAATTGTAATGTGCCCAAACCTTGTGGAAAAAGAATGAATAAGACCTCCAATAGACTGCACATACAAATGCTGTCACTCTCTTGTAAAATGTTTTCTATCCCTGATGCACATAGGACAAGAATGACATACAAAAAACAAGAACTGCAGTCTTGTGTGGACTACCCCTGTACTTAAAAAAAGACGCAAGCTACACATTTCGAACTTTTAAGGTAAGTGTTGTGAGCCACTTCACCGCTATTGTATGTCTGGTCCGTATGCAGGGCTTTGGGGTTTGTGAGATAAATTGTAAGTTTTTTTTAACTTCATTAGATGCAAATGGTACCCAAACCAATACCCAAACATGCTTGTTTTTTATATTCAATTAGATAAACAAATCTTGTGGTCTTTGAATGTTTTAATAATATAAATTGTGAAGACGCTAGTACTACTCAATTACCTCATCTTGAAAATAATCTTATTTTCAAAATGATCATTTAGCTAATCCTTAAAAGAGGAAGGAAGTAGTTTTTTAATTTTGATTTATTGAATGGAAGCCCAACTTGGAGCTTGCATTTTTGAATCGATACACGGGAGAATCTGAAAACTGGAAGCACTGCATTTTCTTCCTCTTGGATCTGCATGGTTCTCATTGTATGTCTTTTCGTTTCATTTGAGGAACTGGATGGCAGCAAAGATGGGACGGTTGCCCTGGTTGCTGTCACTGGAGATGCTGCGGCTCCTTGGTCCGCCCAGCAGGTGGACATCGTGTTGGAGGACCAGATCGTCTCAACTCACCGTTGCTGGGTGGATGCACTGGTTATCCTCTTCGGCCTAATATATGCACTACACCTGGAGTACCCACAGAAAGTAAAGGGCTTCTTTGACTTTCTCCAAATGATCCCCCTCAACTTGGATGAGGGGCGGAGGCAACTTTCCCCAAAATTGCAGACACTGAAAAATGAACTGGACAATGAGTAACACCAATTAACTATTCTCTTAAACCCTCATTGCTGTCTTGTACCCTCACCACTCCCTCATTACACTATTACACCCTCATAAAGCTATCTAGTAATTTCTGAAATGGAAGTGATGTTGTCCATGTTGATTTTTGGAAATTTGTTAACGTCAATGATTGACCAATATTTTCGCTTTGACTTGTTTTTTGAGGAAGTTAAATAAAAGTTGTAGCATTTAACCCAGTGTTTTCATTGTAGGGTATTTAAGCGTGTATATAGTCCAAAGCCGAAGGTTCAGTCAAACTATCTGAGTAGAGATTTTAGTAATTTGACTTATTAACGCTTAAATGTATTGAAGATTGAATGTATTAAATTTAAGTAGTTTTCTAAATAGTTCATATCTGTAACTCATTACAAAATGGTGGTGGTAAATTAAATTATATAAGTTGACATTTGAGGATCTAATGAGTAATAATCACTCAATGAGTTAAAGCTATCCTAACTCACATTTTATAAGTAATGTGTAGTCATTACAAATGATAACATGTACTTATACAGGTTAAGTTGCTAAACTCAAACTGTTTAAAGCAGCAGGTTTAGGGATATCGTTTGAGTTGATTTAACTTGTCAGGTTTTACAGTGTGGTGTGCAATCCATGAATCTTGGTGCCGTAATCTAGACTAGCCTAGCCGTGGCTGCTGCTGTTGTCTCACCTCCTTTCAGATACGCTCTCTTTATTCAAGGCTAGGTTTAAAACAGTCCTCTTTAGTTTAGCATATGGCTAGGAAGGTAAGACTCAGGGAAGGCTAAACTCCTCAGACTGTCAATCAAGCTGCATAGGGAGTCAGTTTGCTGGGAGAAGTATGGTAACTTGAGCACTATCCTCTCCTCCTTCCTACTTTATCTGTTTAGCATTATTAGGATTTTGACTGTAGTTTGTTCATTGCTATTCACCCGTTGTCCCATTGTCTGTTTCATGGTACAATGACGGGATCTCTGAGCCTGGCCTCCTCCATCTTCACCTGCGGACTGCCCCGCCCGATCCGCCTGGGAGTGCTTCAGTCCTGCACCGGACCTGTCCACGTTCAGCGGCCACTGGTCCACGTTCTGTAGCTAGCTTAGGTCCTGGATCATTAGCCTGTCCGTCCGGAGGAGCGGATCCCTTTCTCAAATGGGTCTCCCTCCCTGTGGGTTTCCCTAGTTCTCCCCAAGGTTTCTCACTTTTTCCCACTGGGTTTAAGAGTTTTTCCTTGTCGAGGGTCTTGTTGGGCAGTTAGTGTCCAACAGAAAGGATTGGTGATGATCAGGACACTTTAGCATTCTACAACATGTATGGACATTTTCTTTTGTGTGTGCTTTATATTTTTCATGTGTTTTAACTGTTGATTCTCTGATCTGTGTTGGTGATTTCAATGGTTTTGTTAAGTCCTCTGAGATGACTTCTGTTGTGACCTAGGGCTATACAAGAATAAATTGTATTGTATTGTATTGTGTATGACAGTTACATTATCGCGTGTGTAAATGTGTGTAAGTGTGTATTCTAATGTAATTTTCTACTGTTCATCTTAAATAGGAAAAAATATATATACTTTGTATGCATCAAGAACCAAGAACTAACAGAGAGAGGGAGACAGCCGAGAGAGAGAAGAGCAGAGGGGAGGGGCTGTGTGACTTCTCAAACGGAGAGGAGGACATGTCAGAATCAGAATCATTTTTATTGGAAATTGCTTTGGCTCAGTGCAACAGTCAGAAAGAGATGATAAAAATAAAGAATAAAAAACACTTCTAACCCAGATAGCAAGCGGATGTGGGCCACATGTGGCAAACATGTGGGTCACATGGCATTGTTACGGCCCAAATGAACCAGATGTCAGCCAGATGTGGGCCACATCAGGCACACTATATGTGGCCCAAATATAGCAAATCAAACATGGGCCACATGGGGCAAATATATGGCAGTTCTGTAAATGAAAATGGTGGATGAAACAGATGTCAGCCAGATGTGGGCCACATCCTGCCTACCATATGTGGCCCAAATATAGTAAATCAAACATGGGCCACATGTGGTAAATATATGGCAGTTCTGTAAATGAAAAATGGTGGATGAAACAGATGTCAGCCAGATGTGGGCCACATCCTGCATACTATATGTGGCCCAAATATAGCAAATCAAACATGGGCCACATGGGGCAAATATATGGCAGTTCTGTAAATGAAAATGGTGGATGAAACAGATGTCAGCCAGATGTGGGCCACATCCTGCCTACCATATGTGGCCCAAATATAGTAAATCAAACATGGGCCACATGTGGTAAATATATGGCAGTTCTGTAAATGAAAAATGGTGGATGAAACAGATGTCAGACAGATGTGGGCCACATCCTGCCTACCATATGTGGCCCAAATATAGCAAATCAAACATGGGCCACATGTGGCAAATATGTGGCAGTTCTGTAAATGAAAAATGGTGTATGAAGCAGATGTGGGCCACATCCTGCATACTATATGTGGCCCAAATATAGCAAATCAAACATGGGCCACATGTGCCAAATATATGGCAGTTCTGTAAATGAAAAATGGTGGATGAAGCAGATGTCAGCCAGATGTGGGCCACATCCTGCATACTATATGTGGCCCAAATATAGCAAATCAAACATGGGTCACATGTGGTAAATATGTGGCAGTTCTGTAAATGAAAAATGGTGGATGAAGCAGATGTCAGCCAGATGTGGGCCACATCCGCATACTATATGTGGCCCAAATATAGCAAATCAAACATGGGCCACATGTGGCAGTTCTGTAAATGAAAAATGGTGGATGAAGCAGATGTCAGCCAGATGTGGGCCACATCCTGCATACTATATGTGGCCCAAATATAGCAAATCAAACATGGGCCACATGTGGCAAATATATAGCAGTTCTGTAAATGAAAAATGGTGGATGAAACAGATGTCAGCCAGATGTGGGCCACATCCTGCATACTATATGTGGCCCAAATATAGCAAATCAAACATGGGCCACATGTGGCAAATATATAGCAGTTCTGTAAATGAAAAATGGTGGATGAAACAGATGTCAGCCAGATGTGGGCCACATCCTGCATACCATATGTGGCCCAAATATAGCAAATCAAACATGGGCCACATGTGGCAAATATATGGCAGTTCTGTAAATGAAAAATGGTGGATGAAACAGATGTCAGCCAGATGTGGGCCACATCCTGCCTACCATATGTGGCCCAAATATAGCAAATCAAACATGGGCCACATGTGGCAAATATGTGGCAGTTCTGTAAATGAAAAATGGTGGATGAAACAGATGTCAGCCACATGTGGGCCACATCCTGCCTACCATATGTGGCCCAAATATAGCAAATCAAACATGGGCCACATGTGGCAAATATGTGGCAGGTTCTGTAAATGAAAAATGGTGGATGAAACAGATGTCAGCCAGATGTGGGCCACATCCTGCATACTATAAGTGGCCTAAAAACAAACATAATTGGGAATTTGTGGCAAATTTCCAGCAAATCTTGGATGCCAGAAGATCCCTGTCTTCATGTCTGTTGTATTGTTGCCATTTTGTTTTATTTTCTAATCAACACAATGGTTGTTTTTGGGTTATCATTTATTGATAGACCTTTCTAATATGGTATTACTTATTTTTTTGTGTTATCTTGTTCCACGATAACACAAAAAAAGTGATAAAATGTTGTGTTGTTATATACAGATTATATTATTGATTTGTTCTCATATGTATCAAGAATTATTACGATGAATGGCGGAAAAAGCCCAGAGAAAAAAAAAACGTTTAGTAGCCGCGCAGCTTGTGCCCAGATGCATTCAAAACTAGTCGAAAACTGGTTAAATTCATTAATATTACAGGTCAATTTTGTTTTAGCCTGATTAGCTACCTCTTTACTACTATTCACTAATCACTTTACCTGCTGCTGCCAATTAATGATAACTTTAATTATTCTGGTCATTTTTATCTGCTAGCTAATTTCCAACCATTGTGTAGATGTGAACCTCAATAACTGACTAGTTGTATACCCCTCAAGGATGTATCATGTGACCTAAGTGCAAAGTACTGACGGCAAAACATGAGGTGAAACCTTGATATTTGTTGTTCCGCAGCACAACGAAATGCAATCAGGATGGATTTAACCATGGCATACATCCTCCTTGTAAACCTTGACCACCAAAATGTATGATGTAAAGCCAAACAAAGGACTACTCGTCATAGTTATCTTGGAAAGTAAATTATTGCCTGCTTCCTACCATAGACTATATAGAATGAACGCTACTACAACCACTAAATTATAAACACCCAATAGGGAAGTCTTGTGGATGAAAGTTTTGCTCCGACCTCGTTCTGTAGACTTACATTGAAGAGTAATCTTCTTACTCATAACCGTTTCTTCACACTCGCCCTTTTCTTTCCTTGAATATCAATGGTTTAAGTGGGGGGGGCTCTCTACTGATATTGTGTCTATTGTTGACATTGTCTTGGTATATCCGGAGATAAGCCATACAAATTGATCATAGCATGCCTTCTTTCACGGGAAAAATCGAGCATCCTTAGCAACCGAGCTATGCAACGCATTAGTTTTCATCTGCCCCTGTGCAGCAATGAAGCTAACCCTGTCTGAATAATAATGTGTCCATAATGTCATCTGATTCTTATGGCAACCCTATCAACCAACTTTTCTGTGTCGAGTCCAACAAATGTAAAATGAGATATTTGGTACCTGGAGCTATTTAAGGTCAAAGTACCAAATGTAGCAGGATGGTGACTCGGAGAGGCAAGGTAGTCCACACAGAAGGGATCTCACTCCCAGAGGGAACAATAGCAGACGTTGAGGACAGTTACAAGTATCTCGGTATACTACAGGCAAATGGCAACCTCGAACAGGTGATGAGGAAAGCAGCAACTGCCAAATAACTACAGCAAGTAAGGCAGGTCCTAAGAAGCCGGCTCAATGGCAAGAACAAGGCCCGGGCAATTAACAGCTACGCCCTG